ATTAGCTGTGTTCTCCGAGAACAGACTGAACTTTGAATCAGGTCAGTGACTTTGCTCTAAGTCGTATTTAGCCCCACATCCAGTCACTGACCTGTATTCTCCTATCCCTGCAGAGATCCATCCCGCAGCAGACGAGCAGCCCCGTGCTCCTGTTAGTTTTAAGAAACGCTTTGAATTTTCCCACTGCATGTCCCACCTGGAATTCTGGGTCCAACTTCCTGAGATCATTACACTGATGCAGTAAACTGATCAGATGTAACATACTGGGGGGTCTGGGACCTGCCGGAATCTGTATCTGTGTCTTCACACTGATACAGAACAGAGCATCTTGCTCTGTTCTGTATCAGTGTCGTGGCCTACAGTAGCTTTGAAGTTATGCTCATGGGCCTCCACCAACTTTTGAGCCTCAACAAGGGAACTTGGATTATGATTCATTACTTCATAGGCCACCTTTTGATTTCGTAAGCCTTTGAGGAAAGCATCAGTTGCTAGCTAGTCCTGTAATTGAAGGTCTACTCCTGAATATGCAAGTGTGACAAGGCGTCTCACATCCTTTGCAAACTCTGCTGATGTTATCCGTCCTTGTCTGAGTTCTCCTAGCTTCCTCCTTACGGTGGTTGAGGTGTCCTTTTTTCCTAAACATTGAGGGAGTTGCTCCACCAGCAGAACATAATCTTCCCTTGTGCATTCTGGTAATGAGCAGACGAACCGCACTGCAGCTCATCTTAAACACTCATGTAGTCTGTCCTCTTGCTCTACAGTACTCCATCCATACTTCCTGGCTTGACATTCAAACGGCATCAAAAATAAATCCAAATCCTAATTTAATTTCCATCAAATGTAGCTAATTTAGCCTGTGGGGTTCTGGCAATGTATGGTAATGGGCTGTAGAAATATTTTGCCTCCTATCATCATCGTAAGCAGGTATGTTTTGGGCTTCACGCTCAGAGTCTCTGATCCTCCTGCGTCTAATATCAGGTTCAAAAGTAATAGTCCACCTTGACGGCCCTGTGCTTTGAGAGCTTTGATTTATGACCTCCAGTTTAGCTGCAAAAGACACATTATCCCTTGGTCTAGTAGTCATATCAAAAGATACACTTGGCTCAGTTGCATGCCTTTCTCTTGTCTGCAGTGAGATTATGTCCGCCCCCCATTAGTAGTAATAAGTGATGGTGTGGGTTGTTGTGCAGCCGATTGTCCTGTAATGTGTGAAATGACAGGGGCCAGCTTCATCTGAAGGTTACTTGTTTGTTGATTTAGATTTTCTAAGACAGCTTATAACCCTTTAGGAGCTGTTTCTGCCTCCCCAGGGGCTGATGTAGCGCTTTGTTTGTGTGGGCGTGGCTTGTGTATAAAAGAACAGGTATGTGCTTTATGGAGAACATTGTTGTCCTAACAACCCTAAAAATGGCTAAGACACATGCCTAAGAAGCACACTTTAAACTGAAGGCTATCAGCTATGCAGACGAACTTGGAAATCGAGCTGCCGCGAGAGAATTCAAGATAAATGAATCGATGGTTAGCAAATAGAAGAAGATGGAAAACGAACTCCGACAGGTAAAGAAGACGCACTGAGTTTCTGCAGACATAAGGTGAGGTGGCCCAAGTTGGAGGAAAGACTCAAGCTGTGGATCATCCAGCAAAGAACAAGTGGGGCCAGCATTTCGACGGTCACTGTTCGACTAAAAGCAGTAACGCTAGCGGAAGAAATTAAAATTTAACATTTTCGAGGTGGTCCATCGTGGTGCTTTCGTTTTATGAAACGGTGCAATTTTTCCATCCGGACCAGGACTACAGTTGCTCAGTGACATCTGGCGGATTATAATGAAAAGCTGGCGAGCTTTTACTCCTACAGCAAACACATCGCCGACAAACGCATCCAGCCAAGCCACATCACCAACATGGACGAGGTGCCGAGGTTAACTTTCGAAATCCTGGTCAATCACACGGTGGAGAAGAAGGGGACCAGGACTGTAGTGATACACACAACGGGGTATGAAAAGGCGTCATTTACTGTTGTGCTTGGCGGCCACGAAAATGGACAGAAACTGCCGCCTATGGTGATTTTTAAAAGAAAGACTTTGGCTAAAGAGACTTTTCCAGCTGGAGTTGTTATTAAGGCAAATGAAAAAGGCTGGATGGATGAGGAGATGATGAAAGCGTGGCTGAGTGAGGTGTATGTGAGGAGACCAGGTGGTTTTTCCCACGCATCACCATCGCTGTTAATCTGTGACTCCATGCGTGCCCATCTCACAGCCAATGTGAAAAAAAAGGTGAAACAAATGAACGCTGTGCTCGCCATTATCCCAGGGGGTCGGACAAAGGAACTTCAACCACTCGACATCGGTGTGAACCGGTCGTTCAAAGTAAAGCTGCGAGTGGCGTGGGAGCGATGGATGACATATGGAGACCACAGTTTCACGAAAAGTAGAAGGCAGCACCGGGCAAGTTACGCCACCATTTGCGAATAGATTGTTGATGCTTGGACTAACGTGTCAGCTGGCACTGTTGTTCGGGCTTTCGCAAAAGCCAGCATCATTTCCGAGGAGCCGCCCGGCACGGAAAGTTACTCTGACAGCGAAGAAGGGGAAATTGGCATGTCTGATTTAGTGCATCTGTTTAATTCAGAAACAGAGGATGATGACTTTGATGGGTTCGATTAATACTTTGTAATAAATACATGAATAAAGCACAATTATACTCAGTTTTGCTCCCGCTCTATTTTTCTACCTGAAAACTTAATTCAACAGCAGCCTCTGGGCGGGTCTCCTCCGGGTTCACCACGGCGACTGGCAGGTGTTTTTCATCTAAATAATCTAAATCTTGCAGCTATATTTGCTGTGATCAGTGGCAATAAAGTAGTTTAAATATGTTTTTAAGTGAGAAAATCCACCTGAAAACTTAATCATTGCAGTCAGTTCATCCAGATTATCATCCTGCCTTCTAATACTATTTCTGTCGGAGGTGCTCAGACCCCCACATACCAGCAGTACGCCGACAATAGGAATCCCTTTTACAGCAGCCTCTGGCCGGGTCGCCTCCAGGTTCACCGCAGCAGCTGGTAGATGTTTTTCATCTAAATAATCTAAACTGCAGGCACCAGGATAATAAAAGCGAACATATTCTGTCGGCAGGTTTCAGGATTTTAAATAAATTTTTGCGTCAAACTGTTTCAGAGGAGTGATCACAGCCCTGTGTCATCAGCGGTGTCTGTCTCACGGCCGGCACCCAGGTTTGAATAATACTTTGCGAAAAATACACCTTGCAGCTATATTTGCTGTGATCAGTGGCAATAAAGTAGTTTAAATATGTTTTTAAGTGAGAAAATCCACCTGAAAACTTAATCATTGCAGTCAGTTCATCCAGATTATCATCCTGCCTTCTAATACTATTTCTGTCGGAGGTGCTCAGACCCCCACATACCAGCGGTACGCCGACAATAGGAATCCCTTTTACAGCAGCCTCTGGCCGGGTCGCCTCCAGGTTCACCGCAGCAGCTGGTAGATGTTTTTCATCTAAATAATCTAAACTGCAGGCACCAGGCTAATAAAAGCGAACATATTCTTTCGGCAGGTTTCAGGATTTTAAGTTAATTTATACGTCAATAAACTGTTTAGGAGGAGTGATCATAGCGCTCTGTCATCAGCGATGTGTCTGTCTCACGGCCAGCTCCCAGGTTTGATTAATACTTTGTATTAAATACACCTTGCAGCTATATTTGCTGTGATCAGTGGCAATAAAGTAGTTTAAATATGTTTTTAAGTGAGAAAATCCACCTGAAAACTTAATCATTACTTAGCTTATTAGCTCAGGATGACGTTTTTATCTTATTTGATTAACACAGTAGTTTTAAGAGGATCCCACTTCTGACACCAGTTGTCGTGTTTTAGCTTCCGGTGGCATGGAGGTGAGTGGATGTTCTGATGAAGCACACGACAAGGAATCTTCTGTAGCTGAACTTTACTTTCTCCGACAACAGGTTAGTTACAGACACAGCTGATGGTTGATACCTGCGTTGTTATGGCCTCTAGCTCTGGCACAGACAGCATTTTAGCAGTGTCCATACAGCAAGCCTTGAGTGCCTTACAACTTCAAATCATAACAATGATAACTCTTGCAATGATATAAGGTTATCTAAATGATTGCGTTGCATTTATTGACTCAACACTAGGCTCAGAGAAATCAAAACAAAATATAAAACAGTATTTTATGCTCATAAAAGCTTAAACTGCCTTACACTATATTGCCAACTTTACTGCAGTCTCACGAAGCTTTCTCGACTGCAGTGAAGGAGAGAGAGAGGAGAGATTGCTTAAGTTATATTTCTCCCCCAAAAAATAAGCCAGATGCTCAATATTGTATAAATATTCTTGCTTTCCCTCTCTACAGCGTTCCAGCTCATGCGGCTATTTTCATTGTACAGATCAGTTATCGTCTGATCGCTGCGCTGTTGGCTCTGCTGAAATCATTGCAGTGTTGGTGACACTGATGACATAGACCTAGATATATTTATTTACAAATATGATTTTTTATTCCCCCTGCTCTCAGGTAAAACACATTCAAAGAGAGAGACTTTAACTAAAACCAAAACTGAAGGGGGTAGAAGGTTCTCCAACCACAGTACTAATCGGGCATTTCTAGTGTTAAGTCAGAGTTAAAAACCTGTTTGTTTAGAGCTGCCTTTTGCTGTTAAAGTTAAACTGTAAACCTAGGTATTACTAGTTTAAAGTTGTGATCCAACTGTTTGATTGGTCTTACTACCTGCTTTTATCTTTACTTGATTTTCTTCTACTTTTCCCCTTCTATCTTATTTTTTGATTTGTGTAAGGAACTGTATTGTCTCTCTACTGAATGGTGCTATATATATATATATATATATATATATATATATATATATATATATATATATATATATATATATATATATATATATATACATATTTAAAAAAAACTTCCCTTGCCTTGTTCACAGGCACATCTTATAAATAAAGCCTTTGGACTCACCGAGCTTTTCTACAGTTGAACACAGCTGGCAACAGTCTATAATGTCCATTATCTGTTGTGTTGTACTTCTCCAGGTCCAACTCATCCAGAACCTCTTCTGACATCTGCAGCATGTAGGCCAGAGCTGTGCACTGGATCTCTGAGAGCTTCTGCTTTGATCTGTTTTCTGATTTCAAGAACTCTTGAATCTCCCCATAAACTGAGAGATCATTCATTTCTATCAGGCAGAGGAAGATGTTAATGGCTGCATCTGGACAGATCCCATCACCCTTAATCTCCTTTAGATTCTTGATTATGTTTTTAATTGATTCTGGATTGTTCTCCATTTGACCCAGCAGGCCTCCTAAAAGTCTCTGGTTAGACTTCACAGAGAGGCCATGAAGGAAGCGAACAAACAGTTCCAGGTGGTTATTTCCTAATATAAGGCTTTGCTTCATAGCTATCATAAGTAACTCGTCCAGAGATATTTTACTGCAGCCTTCTCCCAGGAAGCTCCCCAGTACCTCTGTGTTCCTGCTGCTGAAACAGTGGAGCATGTAAACTGCAGCCAGAAACTCCTGGATGCTCAGATGGACAAAGCTGTAAACCGGTTTCTGGAAGATCATGTTCTCTCTTTTGAAGATCTCTGTACAAACTCCTGAGTACACCAAAGCCTCTTTGACATCCAGACCACACTGCTCGAGGTCCTCTTGGTAGAACATAATGTTTTTTTCTATCAGTTGTTCAAACGCCAGCTTCCCCAGCTTTAGGAGAACTTTCTTGTCAGCCTCCATCAGTTCCTGCAGGCTTCTACCATACCCTTCATGGTACTTGTTCTTCTTCCTCCTTGTCTGGACCAGCAGGAAGTGTGAGTACATGTCAGTCACAGTCTTGGGCAGCTCTCCTCTCTGATCTGTGGTCAGCAGCTTCTCCAGAACCGCAGCAGTGATCCAGCAGAAGACAGGGATTTTACATAGGACATTGAGGCTTCTGCAGGTCTTGATATGGAAGATGATCCTGCTGGCCTTCTCCTCTTCATTATTGAATCTCCTCCTGAAGTACTCCTCCTTCTGGGTGTCAGTGAAGCCTTGTACTTCTGTTACTCTGGCAACACAGGAAAAGGGAATTTGATTGACCGCTGCAGGTCGGGACGTTATCCAGATGAGAGCTGAGGGAAGCAGGTTCCCCTTGATGAGGTTCATCAGAAGCACATCCACTGATGACTTCTGTGTGACGTCAGAAACAATCAGACTGCTGTTGAAGTCCAGAGAAAGTCTGCTTTCATCCAGACCATCAAAGATGAAGACAAGCTTCCAGACAGCCAGCTTCTCTACGGGAAGCTTCTGCAGGGTTGGATGGAAAACATGGAGCAGAGTGAGAAGACTGTGCTGCTGATCTCTGATCAGGTTCAGCTCCCTGAAGGAAAGCAGAACCACCACACTGACATCTTGGTTCTCCAAGCCCTCTGCCCAGTCCAGAGTGAACTTCTGCACTGAGAAGGTTTTCCCAGCACCAGCGACGCCGTAGGTCAGAACCACTCTGATTGGCCCATGATGGTCAGGTGAGGCTTTAAAGATGTCATGGCACCTGATGGGAGTATCATGGAGGTTCTGGATCTTGGAAGCTCTCTGCATCCACCTCACCTCATGCTGGGTATTAAACATTTCACCCTGTTCCTCAGTAATGTAGAGATCAGTGTAGATCTTGTTGAGGAGGGTTTGACTTCCTGTTTCATTGCTGCCTTCAGTCACATTTTCACATCTTCTCCTCAGGCTGCTCTTATGTTCCTGTAGAATCTCCATCAGACCAACATCTGCTGAAATACAGAAGAAAATACATCTCAAGGAAAACACATGATTTATTGATGAAGTTGGACCCAAACCATCTAGAGCATTAGGAGGTTTCATCATTTGAAGGACTTTTTTTTTAAACAAGTGATGCTAAACAATTCAGCCTTTTCTCAGAAACAGAACGTTTTTCAATCGCATGACAGCATTGTTCTACCTCTGTTCTGTGGCATCAACTAATTCTACATGTACTGCTATAAACAATGCAGCCCCTTTGAAAAAGATAAAACTTTAAGAATAGAAAGCTGGCTCAACCTGTGCTAGAAACAAGACGTCCCATCGTCCACCCTCTGGTCTCCTGCAACTGTTGTCCATCCCTAGTCAGCTCTGGTCCCACATCTCCCTTGACTCTGTTACTGATCTTCCCACATCCAAACATAAAGATTTTATTATCAGCATCATTGATCATTTTTTTAAGGTGTGTCATCTAGTTGCTCTCTCCAAACTCCGCTCAGCATTAGAAACAACTAAGCTCCTCTTTTATTGCGTCTTCCGCCTTCATGAAATCCTAACAGAAATTGTCTCAGACAGAGGACCCCAATTCATCTCCCAGGTCTGCCCTGTGATCAAGGACATCTACAAGAAGTGCTGTCTGTAAAGGGCCGGGAAAATCAAGAAAGACTCCATGTCAAAATCTTAACTGAACGTTAAGATTTGTAGATCTTAACGTTCACAAATCATAACACAAAGAATATTTTAGATGTTTAAAAGGAATTGATAGGGGACTAGCCAAGGACCAGCAAAGAACCCATCAAGGAAAGTGAGGAAATTTTGAATGGCTACTACTGCAACAAGACTTGGGTATTGTTAAAAGTCTAAGCTGCTCTATACAGGAACAAGGCTAACTTCAGTAGCAGAGACAAGGAGGCCATGAAGGCAGCACAGCAGGAGGTAAAACACTGTATGAGGGAAGCCAAACAGATCCACAGCAGAAAGGTGGAGCAGAATCTGAGGGAGAATAACATGAGGGCCGTATGGGAAGGTGTGAAAACCATCACAGGCCACAGAACAAAGACCAGGGCTGTTGAAGGGACAATGCAGAGGGAAGATGAACAGAACAAGTTCTTCAACAGGTTTAACAAACTTGTGACCCCTACACCCCTGCAGCCATCACACGTTGACCCCACAATTCACCTCCCCATCTTCATCTCCTCTTCCCCCAGCACTGACCTCGCCAGCCTCTACCTATCCTAACCCCCACCTTAGCAGCAAAGCACTGCCAACTTACTCTGCTCCTGAAGCACCTTGATCCCCATTGCCCCCTCACCACAAACAACAACACTTGAACACCTTCCCTGCCTCACATCACCACAGACCAGGTCAGAGAACAGCTGAGTAGAGGGTTACTGGGGGAACTCCTACAACGGGTCTTCAATCTTAGCCTGCAGCAAGGGAGAGTGCCTACCCTATGGAAGACATCCTGCCTCACAGTATTTCCTAAAAAGACCCTGCCCAGTGAGCTGAAGGATTTCCGACCTGTGGCAAACACTTCACACCTGATGAAGACAATGGAAAGGATCTTCCTCAATATTCTCAGACCTCAAGCACACCACACCCTGGACCGCCTGCAGTCTGCATATCAGCCCGGTGTAGGAGTAGAGGACACCATCCTCTACCTACTATACCGTGTCCACTCCCACCTGGAGAAGGGAAGCAGCAAGGATTCTCTTCCAGGACCTCTTCAGTGCATCCAGAACCACCCAAGCCTCACTGCTCAGAGACTGACTTAATAGCGAGGTGGTGGACCCCTGCCTCGGGGCCTGGATCTCCAGCTACCTCACAGACAGGCAACAGTATGTCAGGAAGAAAGACACCATCTCTAAAACTGTGGTCAACAGCAGTGAAGCCCCCCAGGGCCCCCTGTCCTCTTCACCTTAAACACCTCTGACTTCTGTTACAACCCGAGGCTGTTTCCCATCCAGAAGTATGCAGATGACACAACCATGGTGGGTATATCAGTGAAAACAGAGAGGAGGAGGACAAGAATCTGCTGGGGGACTAGGGGCCACCTGCTGCCACTCGAACCACTTGGAACTCAACATTTCCAAGACTAGGGAGCTGGTCTTAGACTTTAGGTGGAACAGACCAAAGACTAAGCTGGTACTATTGGAGGGGGCTGAGGTGGATGCTGTGGATTCATACAAATACCTTGGTGTGTGGCTCGATAATAAACTGGACCGGTCAACACACATCAACCACCTGCACAGGAAGACACAGAGCAGGATGGACTTCCTAAGGAGACTGAGGTCCTTCAACATTTGCAACAAGCTGTTGGAGATGTTTCACCAGTCTGTGGCTGCCAGGGTCCTCTTTTATACAGTGGTGTGCTGGGGGAGCAGCACCTCCATGAAGGACACCTCTAGACTTGACAAAATCGTGAGGCCAGCCAGCTCTGTGATTGGCTCGAAGCTGGACCCTCTGGGGAGGGTGGCAGAGACAAGGAAACTTAACAAACTTGCTAGACATTATTGACAATGCCAGCCACACTCTGAAGACTGTCTTGAACACTCAGAGGAGCCTGATTAGTCAGAGATTGCTTATTCCCAAATGCAGGACCAACTGACTGCTGAACACCTTTGCTCATCAAGCCATCAAGCTGTACAACTCCTCACTGGAGGGAAGGAGGAGGTGATAGCAAGAGGCACAAAGGTCAGCACCTCCCTCCTCCGACATCTGATGCAAAACATTGCCTATTGTCACTCATGTAGAATATTCTTCTCTCTCACTGTGCAATAATATGAAAACTACTCTATAGCCAAGCTGTAGTTGGGCTGGACACATATATTATATTTAATCCAGCTGAGAAAAAAAGAACCTTAGTAAAAACAAGCAATCATAGACTTATAAAATTCCAATTTTCACATCCAAAGATGTGAAAATGTTTCAAGATAGAATTGAAGGAAGCTCTGCTTGGAGGTGTTCAGTCTTACCTGCTGCATAGCTGCACTGATGGGCAGCGAAAGGTCCAACTCTGGATTTGCATCTTCCTCCACACTGAGGGCAAGAAGAGGGTTCTAATGGAGCAGGCAGGAATGACTCCATCCATCTACAAAAGAGAAAAAAAAAATCCATGAAAACAGATAAAAACGTGAACTTTGTTATTGTTTTGAATATCGCATGAAACCCAGCCCTGTGCTGAAAATCCTCTCATCTTTGAGGAACAGCTGGAGTGGCAGGGCCTAGAACCCCTGCAAACATACACACACAGAAACACATTCCTTACATGCTTTGTCAGTCTTTCTTTGTCGGGCTTGTATTTTGAATATGCTGCCAAGCATTTTGGCTGAACTACTGGATGCCCAATAAACCTAGCTTATTTGCTCTTCTGCTAACAAAACTCTGCCATTCAATGGATCTGGCCTAAACCTAGCCTCGATTCCAAGAGAAGAATTTCTCGTTTTGGGGAACAGTTCTTGGTCCCAAAATGCCCCTAACAATTACAGATTCATACCTAACACTAACCCCAATCTAAACTAGAAATATATCTAGTCTTAAATGTGACCCCTTGACCCCAAAAAAACCAATTCCCCTCTTGGGGTACACAGTTTGGGCCCCACAAGGAGCAACCAGTCCCCACACTGTTGATTGTTTTTCAGAAAATTGGCCCACAATGTACAACACCTACACGCACACCAACACACACAGATGATAGTAATTCTATGTAAAGTTAATTCCCCTCCCTTCCCCCACTAGCAGAGTGGAGGAAGGGGAGGGAGGGGGAGTTGGAATGATAAAGCCTGGATGTCTGTCTTTATTGGTGTGGTGAGTGGTTTGAATGTTAATGTTGGGGAGGGATTACATTGCCCGGTGGGGGGTTGGGGTGTGGGGTTGTTGGGATGTGGTTATTTGAAGGGCTTTGTGTGTGGCTCCCTGTCTCGATCCTGGTCCATGCCATCCCCTGGTGTGGGCTTCGTCCACGGTACTGCATGGTACGTATGGGTTGGGCAGCCAGAGTTTTTTTTTTTTGGAACGACAGGATGGGGCGATGGTGGGGTGGCGGTGTTGGCCCTGCCGCCTGTCCTAGGCCCCCGTGCTATAGTGGTGCAACTGGTGGGGCCCCCCTCTCTGGGGGGGGCTCTCTGGGAACGGGGGTGCCTATTGGAGTCAGCAGGGGAGCTGGCTTCCTGGTAGTGTAATAAGCACCTTGGTCGTTTTCTCTCCATGCCTGCTCCGTCACACTGTCACACATGTAGGATCTTGGGGAGGGGGTCGTTACTGAAGGGTCCCACCTTTGGATGACGTCCCCAACCCCAATTTTATTTTGCATATCAGACATTTTCACTTTTCACATTATCATTTAAGCTGAATGTTTATATGTTGCACTGTTGTTATTATCATACCTGCTGCTATTCCAAACGGACATTATTGAATGTATTAACATCTCGCCTATCTTGGACAATCTCAGAGGCCAGTGAAATGGACCTATACAGTTTTATTCTTTTTCTTTCAAAATTAGTAACTTAGTCTACTTCGAGTTTATTTTGTAATAGCATGTAGTGTTCTGCATAGATTTTAGATTTCTGTAATCCTGAATAATTAGAAAAAAGACATCATTGTTTAACTTGCAGTTTTTTGCGATATACAAATGGTTTATCACTGAGGCCAGATCCATTCTCTTTTGGTAATAGCTTGAATAAACAGAGATAAAAAGTTATTTGATTGATAATTAATAGCTCTGCTGATAACCTAGCCTTGGTCACTAAATTGGTGTGGATACCTGGATTTTAACAGCTGGTCCAGAAACCATCCAGAGGTGAAAGACATAAACCCTGGTAAATAAGCAAATTAGAGCTACAATTATTCAACTAAGAACACTAAATTGATTTCAATTGATTTTGAATAAGTTAAATAATTAACTACAACTCCAGTTCTAGTTAATCATTTATTCATTATCTGCAGGATATCATTTTGCACAACATATTGGTGTTGTCCCTGGGTGGGCCTGAGACTGAAACTTTTGCGGTATGAATAACAAATAAATCATCCAGAGTGCTTTGGGTTAAAATTGCTAATAACATTACTCCTTTTGAAAATAAACCTGGTGTGTTTGCGGTGTTGCAGCTACTGAGTCTAGCAAGTTTGAGTGGACTTAACTGCCAGTTAATGCAATAGAACAATTGGTGAATTTAGACTTCAGCTGCATTGTTTTTTGGTTGCTGCTGTTCTGAAAGCTTGTGGTAGCTTGTGTAATTACAACTACTCAGCTGATCCCATTGTTTTTTTATTCAAATTTTTATTAAGAACAACATATAGAATGTACAGTTGGTCTGTTCACAAAAGGCAGTATAGTCTTGTATAATCTTCCATTCCATTTGTTATATTGGTCCACACAACATACCACCTCGTGTGGTTATCCGGTATTTAGTGTTCCTTTTTTATTTTTTTTGTCTTTCCTTCTCTTCCTACCCGATTCCTCTCAGAGGAGTGGTGAGGAAAAAGAGTGAACAGTGCAAGTGTTTCCTCTGAGTAACTTTTACAAACCGTAAAACAAATGTTCTAAAATTAACTGAGTAGCTAAGGAACAATGGGTGTCACATCACTGTCATTATGTACAAGTCTGGTGTCCAAGAAAGTCCGCCAAGGAATCCAACATTTTTCAAATTTGTCTTGTTCTACTTTCAGTGCAAATGTCAGTTCCTCCATCTTGGAAATGTCTTGAATGATGCTTATCCAATCTTCAAGTGTGGGAGTCTTATCAGTCCTCCATTTTCAAGTGATTGCTTTTTTGTTGGCAATTAGCATTATGTTGAACATATGTTTTATAGAATCCTTTTACACAGTTTGGACGCTTCCCCAAGACCATGGTTTCAAAGTTCAGGGCAAAATTATTCCCAATTACTGTCTCCACACTTTGTTTAATTTTTCCCAGTAGGAAAGTAGCTTTTGACAGCTCGATAAGATATGAAAATGGCTAGATTGATTCGACCCACTTGACCTCCAGAATGTTCTATCGGCATTTTTGCCCCTCTGAGCCGGTGTCCTGAGAAGCATGTAGCAGTCTTCCAAGCAAATTCTTTATACATTAGTGATGATGTACACTTCCAACCGTTATTCAAAATATCTAACCAGTCTTCTATGTGAATTTGGTGTCACCATTCCTTGTCCCATCTCTCCTTGATATATAATGTATCCCCCCCTCTAAGTTTTGTAGTTCATTGTACATTTTGGATGTTAGTTTATTCATGGGGGTTGACTGATATGATTTTAAAAAGATATTCAAAATGCCAACAAATGTTCTGTCTCGTTCATCATTATTTGTTTTTTCTAAGTAGTGCCGGATTTGTAGATAACGAAAGAAATCTCTATTATCAAGACTATATTTTTGCTTAACGTCTTCAAAGTTTCTCAGACAGCCTTTATGATATAAATCATTGTATTTTATTAAGCCCTTTTCTATCTTTTTTTAAAGGTATTGTTTGTTTTATTTGGGATAAAATCTTTATCATATGCTATCAGTGGCGGCTGGTGAAAAATATTTTTGGTGGGGCTGATATAGCCTAGTGTATGTCTCCAAATAATCCGGAATAAGAATTCAAATAAACAATTGGACAATACATACAATTTAACAGTAATGATTT